ATTCATTTCTGTTGTTCACTGCTACCAACAAGCAGAATTTTTTTCTTCTGATGATGGCCATGTTGGCCAAAACTAGTCGAGGAATCTAAATGAAATAATAAAAACGAAAGAATATTAATATACAACCCAGTGTGCCTTAAGATTTTAATTTTTAATATTTTTTTATTGTTCAAAATATATATATATATGTGTGTGTGTGTGTGTGCCTGTGAGAGATTGAGATTTGGTTGGAAGCTGCGTATTCGGATAATTCCAACACGATCACACACACACACGCATATATATATATATATATATATATATATATATTGGAAGTATTCGAATACACATTTTCCAACCGAAACCCTAACTCATATATATATATATATATATATATATACAACTTCTATTAATTGAATAAAAATGTCGTGATTCGTGACTCCACCTGCGCAATGGAACCCTGTGGAAATCAGTTATAAGATAGGTGAAAGGCCAGAAGGAATAGCAGAACGTAAGACGTAATTGTAATTATATTACGACCAAAAGGAGATCTTAGGCTGATAAAGTTCTCGGAGAGCTGTCCATCTTGGGCGGTGTTTTTCTTTTCAAAAAAAAAAAAAAAAAAAACACGCTGCACATGACTTCTACGCCATTAACTTGAAGACATCTTTCTCCTGAAAGGCGAGAGAAAAAAAAAAGAAAAAAAAAGCGACATAGAAAAAGAAAAAAAAAGTGAAACCAGTTGAAATGAAAGAAAAAAATGCATCTGAAATTAACTCTATCCTGTCGAACCTACTTCATCCATTGCAGTGGTAGATAATGGACTAATACCGAAACTAAAAAACGCCCATACCGTCTGTTGGCTGCAGGTCGCCATTACAGGCGAAGAATTATCATTCTGTGTGGGTGTAAATGCCGTCACAAGCATGGTATGACGTCATCTTCAAATAGGACGACTGCTGAATGTCTCAGACATACAGGCAGGAGGAGAAATTGTGGTTTGGATTTTAATGCGTCTATGTAAGAGATGCAGACGATAGAATTTTTTGTTGTTTGGGCGATGATGTTTTTTTGTTATTGAAAGAACAAAAATGATTAAAAAATGGAACACAAATTCTTAAAATGATTCTGACATTCGACTCTTCTCCAAGTCTTAGAACAGAACGCCTGACATGAGATTTGCTTTAATGATTTTGACATCTACGTTCCTCCCTTTGCTTCGAAGAACATTTCAAGAATGTGATTTTGGCAAAACTCCGGAGATGTTCCATTTAACCCAGAAAATACGAGGATTAAAATAATCGAATAGTTTTATCATCTACCTGGAAAAGTAATCAAAGAATGCATTTCATCAAATAATTAAAGAATAGTCTTTTATGCGTTTTCTACAAACCCAGGAAGAAGATGATTTAATATCCAATGTTGAAAAAAGAATAAAGTAGCATATTCTTCATCTATATATAAATTTTATGACCTCCGTTAGTCCGTCTTTCCACTCTCTAAAATAGCCATACATTGACTGATCGAAACCAAATTTTTGGGAGAAGTGCAAACAGGTAAGGTTTTACAAAGTACAGTTGCTTTTACTAGGGTGCATAGCTTAGTATAATAAATTTTCATTAATTTTTTTGGAAAAATTAAAAGTTTTATTATTTAACATACAAAATACTCCCACTATTTTAAAAAAGATTTAATAATTAAAATAACAAATGTGTATCTAATAAAAATGCAATATACTTTCTTGCATATATTTTGTATTTTATATATATATATATATATATATATATATATATGTATATACAAAAATTCAATTTCCGGTTAGCCCCGCTTTTGCGAGAACTTAAAACAAATTACAAGGCCAAACGTTTCAAAAAGTTGGAATTTAGCTCTAGAAAAAAATATTCACGCATGGCCATTTGTATGTTGCATGTTGAAGAGTAAGAAATCCTAAGAATTTATTCTTTATGGTTAAAAAAAAACAAAACAAAAAAAAAACTGAAAAAAGAAATTTTCTTTAAAAATATTGTTTACCATGAAGTCTTATAAAATTAAATTAAATTAAATAAATTATTAAAACGCGAATAGGGTTTTTTTGTCAAAGTATTTTCCAAACTAATCAGTTTATACAAATTTCATCGATTGGTTTGCCAAATTGAACGAAACGTAGAGTTTGTAAATCTCGACAAAAATATTAACGATAACTTCATCAATACTAAATATTGTGAGGATTTTGACACCCGTCCAACGTCCTGGGTAGGACAATAGACTACATCTAACAGAAAGGCCTCTAGTCAGCGTCGGCGTGTTGCAAAATAAATAAATAAATAACTTCTAGTCATTCCCAAAATACCGATGTCAAAATTTGAATTTAACCGTCATGAAAATAACTTCTGACAGTAATAATTCCAAAAAATTTGTAAATGTTCATAAAATTTTTTTTTCTATGTGATACGTCTCTTCATGACATAGACGATCATGGCTCTCCACAATTTTCTTTCTTGTGGCTCTTAGCAGTTTTTCT